GTGTTTCCATCAACATTTAATATACATGATGGAAAAGATAACATCGAGGCAGGAAAAACGAGTATTTAACGCACTGTCGAGCACGTCAGCAGTCCTGGATTACCTTACAGACAATTATGGTATTTGACTAGACTGTCTAAGTCACTGTCCTATATATTTTATCCCACATGGAGCCATATGAGGTCACATTAAGTCTGTGACTTTTAACTTCGATACAACAGCGGTCATTGGGGCCAGACATGGTGGCACATTTCTTAAACCAAGCGCTCAGAAAGCTGAAGGAAGAAGATTGCAAGTTCTAGACCAGCAAAACTCTTTTTCAAAGAACGAATGAAAGAAAAATTCCCCAGAATTTTCAAAACCTGGGGCTGGAGAGATTGCTCACAGTTGAAACCACTGGCTGCTCTTTCAGAGTTCCTGGGTCTGATTCTCAGCTCTCAAGTAGCTGCTCACTAATGTCTGTAACTCCAGGTCCAGGGGATCCAACACCTTCTTCGGGCCTCCTCAGGCAACAGCCCAGCATGTGGTGCACAGACATGCAACCAAAACACAAAATTTTTTACCAAATTTTTTTTTAAAAAATCAGTTCCTATACCCCTTCCTCATGGATTCCAAAGAATCTAGGAGGGTCATACATCCCATAGTCCCAAATCAAATACTGAAAAACTTTGTTCCAAGTCTTTATGGATTGTGGGGGGTGTGTTTGGAATTTTTACTAAAGGTATTCTGTTTTTAATGTTTTTAAATAAAACTTTTTTAATATCAAGAAGTTATGACTCATCTCTAAGTTAACAAATACATTTTTAATTTTTTGAAAGTTTAGGAAGTAGTAGAACAAATGTCTACATCCAGACAAAATGAAAAAGAACAAGGACTTCTGTGTATGTCAGACTGAACATTAAAATTTTAAATTGGAAAATCAACTGATACATTTCCTAATTGAATATATACCTCAAGGTATGTAGGTTGTATCTAACTGAATTTGATTACATGTGATATCAGCTATAATTTAAAAGTAAGATTAGGGCCAACAAGAAGGCACAGTGGATAAAGGTGCTTGCCTTGGCCAAGTCTGACAACCTAAGTTCAATCCTAGGACCCATGTGGTAGAAGAAGAGAACCATTTCCACAGTCTTCATGCCTCCACACATTCACCCCCCGTGTTGTGATATTTTGTCTGTGTTCTGACAAAGCTTGCCTGGAGATCAGAGTGCAGAGCTAGCCACAAGTTAACCATAGAGACCTGGAGATCAGAGGGCAGAGCTAGCCAAAGTTAATCATAGAGGCCTGGAGATCTGTACAGACAGGAGACAGGAATTGATAGGGCTAGGCACAGACAGGATCTTGCCCCTTTGGTCTGAGGATTCCTAGAGCTAAGAAGTGACTGTGGCTGTTCCTTGGCTTATCTGATCTTTCAGCATTTACCTTGATATCTGACAAGACTAATTAGGATCACGCTACATCTAACGTTCAACTTTTGGGGCATGATTGTGCTTCACACCATGCACACAAATAGTAAATTATATATATTTTAAGATTAGGTGGAGCTCGTCAAGTGAGAGCAAATTTAGTTCATTTTAAGCACTAGATTATTGTGTTACTAATGAGCTGGGCAGAGTCCTTTATTCTACCCATATGGAAATGTCGGTGAGTGAGAAGCCTTTCCAGCACTGGCTTTGGCAGTTTCATATCCCTCAGCATTTTACAGCAAGGTGGTGGTGCTCTTGTGTTACTAGGATTCTTTTGCAGGCCTGAAGTTACTCCTCTGATTAGTGTAAGTCTAGGAAGCATGGATTCTTCAACCTTTGACAACAGCCTTTATATTTAGGTACCATGATTCTCAGTGCTGAGGTATTAGGATTTCCCTAGCCTTGGATATTGGTTATTTAACAGCTCTCTGGAACTATACCACCACTCAGGGCCTACAGTTTCAGAATCTTACAGCCTTTTGTGCAACCTCAGAGGCTCCTTACCCTCTCTTACCTGTTTTCACTGTTCTTGTACCTGCCCTAGTCTCTGTGCCCAGCTGTTCAGCCACCTCTTGTTGCTGTGATTGCCAGCACTGGGACAGTAACTCCTTCTGCTGCTGTGTTTCTGTTGCTGTCCCTGAAGCCTGTGTTTCCTGAGAATGTCAAACCCATCGGTGGCTCCCAGGCACTACTGCAACTATACCGTCACCACAGCTACTCCTAATAGCACAATTAGGAGGTTGATGAGGTCCTGAAGTGATCTCCAGCATCAGTGTAAACATGCAGTTGTGGCGGACTGAGAGATGACTCAGTAGTTAAGAGCATTTGCTCGTGCAGAGTACTCTGGGTTCAGTTCCCAGCACCCAAATGGCTTACAACTATAGTAGTATATTATTTGTGTTTTAATAAATAAAGCTCGCCTGAAGATGAGAGGGGCAAAGCAGCCATGCTAGTCAGCTATACTGCCCAGGGAATGGTGGCACACAACCCTTAGTCCCAGGACTCGGAAGACTGAGGCAAATGAATCTCTGTGAAGTCAAGGATACCCTGGGCTACACAGGGCCGACTCCCAAAAAGATCCAGGTGTTGGTAGTTCATGCCTTTTATCCTGGTGTTTGGGAGTCACGCACCTTTAATTCCAGCACTAGGGAGGTGGAGACAGGAGTGATATGGCTGGGTGGAGAGAGGAATATAAAGGGGAAGAGAGGAAATCAGTGGAGTCTGAGGAATCATGAAGGCAGGATCTTGCCCTTTGGGTCTAGAGAGTTGGTAGAGGTAAAAGGTCTCTCTAGTGGCTGATTGTTTTGCTTTTCTGATCTTCAGTTTGAACTCCCATATCTATCTCTGGGTTTGTATTATTCGTGCAACATAAAACCATCTGTAATTCCAGGTCTAGGGAATCTGACACCTTCTTCTCTGTGGACACCAGGCATGCTTGTGGTACACATACATACATGTAAGCACATGTACACATATTTTTTTTTAAAAAAAATCCAATTGTGTTCACATGCAATTGTAATCCCAGTGCTGAGGAGGCAGAGAGACGTTTGGAGCTCACTGTCTAGTCAACCTAGCTTAATCTGCAGGCCAGTGAGAGACCTCTCCTCAAACAGCAGCTGGACAGCTCCTAAAGAGCAACACCCAAGGTGCCTCTGGCTTCCACACAAGGCACATAACACACACCTCATATTTATATTCTGTAGGAATTCTTTCAGGTACCTCAACTCGCCTCAAACTGGGATTCTTGGCTGCGCCACAAAAAAATGAATTTTGGGGACTAAGTATGACGCAGAATTGGAGTTTATTATTTTTTGGTTTGGGGTCTCATGTAGTCACAAGCAAGCCTCAGACTCACTACGTTGCTGTACGTGACCTTGAATCTCTGATTCTTCTGTTTCCACTTCCTCAGTATTGGGATTACAGGTAAGTACCACACATATAGCGTAGAATGTTCTAGAGATCAAAGCCAGGGTGAACAACTGAGTCGTATCTCTAGCCAAAGCTAGAATTTATCAAGAAGAGTTCAGATCCACAGCACCCACGTAAAAGTCAATATGGTAGTATGTCCTTGGAGTCCCAGCACCACGAAGTAGTCAGGAGGATCTTAGGGTCTCTGTGGCCAGTCAGTCTAGACAAGCAGTGAAGTCCAGGTTCAGTAAGAAGCCCTCTCCAAAAAAAAGGAAATATGGGGCAAGTAGAGAGGAAGACATTCGACATTCACCTCTGACATAGTCAAAAAATGTTTTAAAGACTTTAAAGACATAGATTTGAGCACAGACATTTATGCTAGAGGCTCACCAAAAGGACAATGCAAGCCCAACTGGAGGCATGGGGTACTCAAATTAAGTGACCAGTAAGTGTCTTAACAACAGCCTTGCAGATGACTTTCATGGCTTCTGAAATTACTTTTTTCAGTAAATGAGATCAGTGTGGTTCTAAAGTGCATTGTATGATAAGGTACGCGGAAAACAGGTTGTGCAAGAGTTTAGGTCAGGTCTTTTACCACAAGCAAAGCTGGAAGACGTTTTTGTTCAGAAATGGAGGCCACCGATAGTTTCAGGAGGGGACAAGTATTCAGAGATAAAGAAAGCCCAATGCCAGGGAAATCAACCAAAGAAAAACAAAAAGGCAGGTGTTAGCTTTTTCTTAATTAGAACACAGAAAAGCAAGCAAGCTTAGCACTGCTACATGGCAGAAGGAAACTCCGTAAAGAAGCACGTCTTAGGATGTATAAGTACAGTATTTTATTAAGGGGATAATATCTCTCCCACCTCTTTAACGTGTCTCCAAATCAATCAGATTTCCTGGGAGTGGACTCTTGTCCAGCTTAACGGAGGAGATAATAATATGTAATGTTACAATATTTGGAGCAGATCGAGATGCTAAGTCTCCACCTACAGCAGGGATATTTCATTTTGGCCAGGAGGCCTAAGGAGGGCAGTTGTTAGCTTTTCCTTTCTCACGTCACCAGGAAAACAGGAGATAGAACACAGAGTTAACCACGAGGGAGTCTACCCTCAGTGTTTCCCCGAACCTATCTAGTTACCTAACAGAATATGGTTAGGTAGAGCATACCCACACCCATCTTTTCCTAGTAGTCCCTGAAGTTGCCTGGTCCCACCAATGGACAAGAGCAGGGAAATAAAAGGCGCACTGACGATACAGAGACTGCCGTCTCAAGAACAAAATGTACAACCCCCCCAGGACTGGACCCTCACTTAAATTTAATTTAACTGGGGGCAGGGAGGCAGGTTGCCACCGTTAAGCGGCTGGCTGGATTCGAACCCCGCCCGTGCCCTGGCTCCCACCACCGCGCGTCGGCGGCACCGTGGAGGAGCCTGCGTCACTCCGCGCCCTCCACGCCGCGCACTAGGAAACGGCGGTCGCGCCAGTGTGACCTCAGCCCGGCCCGGCACGCTCTCGGCGGCGTGTGACGAGCGGCGGCGGGTAAGCCGGACGGCTCCGGGCAGCCTCCCCGAGGAGCGCGGCCCGCACCTCGGCCACGGTGACCGGCGGCCCCGGGAAGCTTGGGGGCCGCGGCGAGGGGAGAGAGGGAGGCGTCGCGGGCCGTGCGCGCATGCGCGCGGCCTCGTCTCGCGGGGCCGGGGGAACTCCCAGCAGGCCCCGCGCGGCGTGGGGCCGTTCACCCGGGCTTGTGTGAAAGTGAAGTCTTTCTCTGTTCAGGTGTGAAGAAGAAAACAATAACCATGACAGTCCAATGGGTGGCGGTTGCCAGCTTTCTCTATGCTGAAATAGGACTCATTTTAATCTTCTGCCTGCCCTTTATTCCTCCTCAGAGGTAGGAAACGTTCAGATCTTTACCAAATGTTGGATTTGGCTTCTTCAGGCAACGGCGTGTGACGCTTTTCTTGGGGTTAGAAAGCTGGGGTCTCCGGGATGGCTCAGTGGGCAAAGGGCGCTTGCAGCCCCGAGAGGACCTCAGTTTGATGCCCGGAAACAATGTGGTGGAGAGGAAACTGGATCTACAAAGTTGTCTTCTGACACAGCCACCCTGATGTGCCCAGAAACACAGCGGGATGGGGTACGTGGGGAGGAAAGTTAGAAAGACAGTTCATAAAAAGTACTCGTTAAACAAGGCAGGCGGTGGTGGCACAGGGCTTTAATCCCAGCACTTGGGAGGCAGAGGCAGGCTGGTCTCTGTGAGTTTGAGCTGGTTCCAGGTCCTCTGTTTACGCAGAGAAATCCTACTCCCGCAAAAAAGAAATTTAGAGAAAAGTACTCTCTAAAAACGAAACCCAGATTGCTCTCTGGTAACAGTATTACAATGCTACATTTTAAAGCTTGGTTATATATACAAGTGGAATTTCCCCCCACCTTTTTCTTTAAAAAGAGAACCTCGTCTTTTTGGTCTTGATCACAGGTATAATAAAGCAGTGTGATGCTATTTATGCCGTGGACACCTGTCCTGTCCTGACTTCATGTTTTCCTTTCTTTCTACTACCCTGGATTGGAGCAGTGAAATAAAGAGCTGGGTGCAGAACTGTTAATTGGGACAGTGGAATTGCTGTGCACAGACCAAAACATAGAGATGGTTCTCAGGTTTGACCTCAGGCAGAAAAGAAACAATTTCATTAATAATCATTTTGCTTTTCATTCCAGTCAAAATTAATGGGAATGTGTTAAAAATGTTGGTTGTGTAAACTATCAGTCACATATTAGCTTTACTTACTTCGTAAAGAACTTTCTGCCTTCTTGAAAGTGCTGAGTGTCCAGTATACTCACAGACTTTCCCTTGTTCCTGATTAGGTCCAGGAACTTGCTCTCTTGAATGGGGAAGTATATTTATAAGAATGATGTTGTAAGGTATTTTGTTACACTCCTGACATAGAAGGAAATCAGTCTTCTCCCCTTCAACTTGAAGTTATTGTTGATAGTTCTTTTCAAAATTTATTAAGTTTGTCATATCTTAAAGTAAAAATACCACATTGTGCTTCTGATATGTAGTCACATTCTGATTGCCTTCTCGGGTCTCCTTTTGACTCAGTGTATCGCCCATTTAAAGGACTTACTGCAGAGTTGGACACCTTCCCAGTTCCAGGATGGATCACTTGGTCACACTTCGGCACTCATAACTCATCGTTTCTTGCCTCTGCAGCTTTGTTTATGCTGCTCAGTCTGTATAGACTACTTCCACGTCTCATTTCCTCTGTTCAGACCTTGACCTGGGTCATAGATAAATCATATGGATATTTCCATGTGTCAAAGTTTACATAGATATATAAATTTTTCCCCCATTTTACATATCTCAGTCTTTTTTTTTTCAACATTTTTGGTTAAAGAAAGAAATTACTATCAGGCAGTGGTGGCACATGCTATATTCCTAGCACTCTGGGAGGCAGAGACAGGTGGATCTCTGTGAGTTAGAGGCTGGCCTGGTCTATAGAGCAAGTGCCAGGATAGGTTCCAAAGCTACTGAAAAACCCTGTCTTGAAAAAAAGAAAGAACTTACTTAGAGTATACAATAGAAGCATACTATATAAAAATAGACCTGTGGAAACCAAATACAGTAATAATTGCTTGTAATTGCAGCACTTAGCAGGCTGAGCATGGGGGTGGCAAGTTCCATGCCAACATGGGCTCTGTAGTGAGGTGTAGTGAGACCCTGTCTCAAATAAGCCTGTAGAGAACTAGGTGTTGCCAGTGGTTAGATCAAAAGACATCATCATTTCTGAGATGTTACTCTAACTAGGGAAAAAGAAATAGCTTCCATTAAAAAACACGACATTTTGTGGGATGGCAGAGGCACACGTGTTTAATCCCAACACTTGGGAGGCAGAGATAGGTGAATCTTTGAGAGTTTGAGGCCATCCTGGTCTACAGCGTGAGTTCCAGTACAAGCTCCAAAGCTACAGAGGAACCTGTCTCAAAACAAAACAACAGCAACCAAATGACATTTTAGTTTAATTAAGAAATTAAGAATTTCTTTTTGGACTGTTGAGATAGTTCAGTTGGAAAAGTGCTAGGCATACGAGCTTGCGCACCTGAGTCTGATCCCTAGACCTGTGGGGGAAGACAGGGAGGGTTGCATAGGTTTATGATCTCAGTGCCAGGGAGGAAAAGCAGGCAGATTTTGCAGTCAGCCTCTCCTGACCAGTGAGTCCCAGGAAGAGACTGTCTAAAGCAAGGTAAAAAGGCTCCTGAGAAACATCTCAGATTAACCCTACTCCACAGGCATCACTCCTGCACACAAACCCTTGCCTAATTTCTTCTTGAGGTTTTGTTCATGTATGTTTACTTTAAAGTTAATTTTACTTTAGAATATTTAAACCATCAGATAAAAGATAATCCAATGTCATAGCATTTATCTTGAGTTGTTCTGTCATGTCAGAGAAGTAATAACTTTTAAAGTTAAATTTCTCTAATTTTTGTCACACTACTATCAAAATATTATTTCAGTAATTAAGAAACATTTCAAAACCTGCTTTTGGTTTTTTTTTTGATTGTTCATGTTGTTAATTTTGCTTATCTGGTTTTTTTTTTAACCTAATCTAATTATATTGCTTCACAGGTGGCAGAAGATTTTTTCATTTAGTGTCTGGGGTAAAATTGCAAGTTTTTGGAATAAAGCTTTCCTTACCATTATAGTCCTATTAATCGTTCTGTTTTTAGGTAAGTACTAGATTCATCCTTTGAATCCAGTTCTTTTTAAATAAATTATTAGGGTTTTGATTGTTTAAATTGATGATATACTAAAAGAAAAATCATTTTATATATTGATATTAAGGTAATTATGGCTATTTTGATACATATTTGGTACTATTTTATATATACAAATTTCAGGTGCAGTGATTCTTAACCTCTTTTAGGTTAGTTTAAAGTTTACATGCACTAAGTGGCCTTTTTGTAGTTGCCATATAACAACCAATTAGTCTTTGCTATAGTACTGTCCTGGGCATACAGGATCTTGGTCTGCATGCACCAAAAGAATAGAGTCCCTAGGCTCTTAAAAGATTCTTGGGAGAGCGTGAATCTTCACTGAATCCTGATTAAAAACAAGCTTTGGGGGCTGCTGCAAATTTTTTTATTACTAAATGGTTGTTAGGTAGTATTGGGCTTTTGTTTTGTGATGGTGGTGTTATAGAGCATCTTAAAGTCTTTGGCTCAGAGGCCTGTGGTTGTAAATATGGTGTACTGAAGCATCTCTTGCTTCTGCACATGGTCCATGCCTGTTTCCACGGACAACTCCAGAGCCCTGAAAACATCCATTGCTTATCCCTTTGTTTGAAAAAAGGAAGTTATTAACAGTTTTTACATAGGGATATGTTCTTAATCTGAGAAGATGCATAGTGAAATATTTAGGGGAAGTATCAGTGAGACTTTGGATTGAAAAACATAGAGAAATATGGTGAGATTTTCAGTTTGAATCCATATGGTAGCATTATAGATGGGTACTGGACAGATTGAACATCCCTAACTGAAAACTCTAAATCTAAAAATTTGAATTGAAAGAATCTAAAACATTTTAGCACCAGTATGCTAGCATGGTTGGAAAATTCCACCTCTCACTCTGTGGTAATTACAGGCCAAACCCAAGAACAGTAAAAACATTATCTAAAATTAATTTCAGACTTGCATGTATGAAGTATGTATAAAAGGTAAATAGGTTTCATGTTTATATTTGGAAGAGTCACTCTTGGCCACTTTAGCTTTTAATATACATTGCAAAGTACATTTTCCCTAGGAACCTCCTCACAACTCTCATGTTATATTAAGTAGTAGGTTTGCTGGCACTAACTTGGAGCCACAAACCACTGTGTTTGGAGTTTTATGCAAAATGTTTTATGTTTATAACACCAACCTTTGAAATAGAGTTAATCCTCATTATAAAATTGAGAGCATCTATTGTAAAGGGGTATAGAATTGTTAAAAACAGGACGGGAAGCCAGGCATGGTGGTGCACACCTTTAAGCCCAGCACTAAGGAGGCAGAAGTTGAGGCTGGTAGATAGATAGATCTCCGAGTTCCAGGACAGCCAGTGCTACATAGTGAGACCCTGTCTCAAAACATCAAAAACAACAAATCAAGAAGGGAATTGTATGAAGTTTTGAATGGATTTGTATCACGTTCCTATAATACTAGGCAAGTTAAGGCAGACAGATAAGACTTATCCCAACATGTTGATATCTTCATCTCAAATGGTCTGTCACCTTCTTCAGTGAAGTGATATAAATAATGCAGAGCCTGTAGATTACTCAACCTTAATTCATACCTTACTAAGGAACTTGTTTCCTTTTTCCTTTTGTCATGTAACTGATATATAATATTTATATTCCTCCAGTCAAGACTTGAATATTTATCATGTGTGTTAAGGTAATAAATCACAGCCATCAAAGTAGCAAACCCAAGAACATGTCTTTCAGCAGAAGTACGATCCAGAAATTAGAAAAATTTAAAACTTACCTGCCAAAAGACTCTTCATACATACGATTTATAGAAAGTTGAGCTCATCACATTAACCCCTTATTGTTGGTCCTACTCCATTTTCAACATACTCTAGAATTGAAAGCAAAACAGAGTAAACGAACTAAATAGTACATTAAATAACATGTTGCCGAGAAAATAATTTTAAGCAGCAAATACATTTTATGAACACAAAGGATTGAAGCTTTACTCGTGAGCAATTTAAAAAATGCTTTATTGTTAGCAATTTAAAAAATGCTTTGTGTATATTGCAGCACAGAGCAAATGAGCAAGTGTGCTTAATGGCATTGGAAATGAGCAAATGAGTCTTTTTTTTATTTATTGTGGAATGCTTTGTTGGGATTTTATTTTGGAATGATAGATTAGAGACAGTGGTTGTGAACTATTATGAAGTAAATCCAGCATAGGCTGCACCCATTTACCAGTCTGTGCAAACAGGCATTTCCCTCAGTGACAGAGCTCTGTCTCCCTTATCTAGAGTAAGGGGAGCACAGTAGGTGCTGGCCCTTTAAGAGAAGTGGGATTTAGTTCGTTACTCACATCAGATCAAGATCTGACAGTGACGTGATGATAAGTAAGCCCTGGAGGAATGATTTTAAGATGATTTAGTAGTGACCCATAAATTGCCACTGCTATCCATCTTTGGGTACTAAAGAGGGACATAGAAAGAAAGCCATATCTAAAGTCCATTATTACGGAGGTTGGTAAGTTATTCTACAACTACTTCTTGTTTAAAATAATTTTACTTAAAAATGAAAAGTAACATTCTCTCCTGTGATAGATGCTGTGAGAGAAGTAAGGAAGTATTCCTACACTCAAGTCACTGAGAAGAACTCAGCCGGCAGGCCTGGTGCCTATGAGCACACACAGATGAAGCTCTTTAGGTCCCAAAGAAACCTTTATATCTCTGGATTCTCGTTATTTTTTTGGCTGTAAGTAAAAAAAAAAAAAAAAAGAAACTGTACAAGTACAGTTTTAACACTCATAGAATTCTTTCTGGATATTTTTTTTCTACTTACACCTTAGGGGTTTTTTTTTGTCATCTTTATAAAAGAATTCAGATGATATATTCAGATAACAAGTAATAGTTGCACTGAAGAAGGCTGGGAGTGGAAGACATTGCTTTCCCCAGGGAAGAGCACACCAGTTATCCAGTGTCAAATGTTCTGCCCTGAAAACATACATGCAGGTAGCATTATACGGACGGAACAGGTTATATTTGGGGATATATATGTATATGCACACAATAACAATAGGTTAAAAAGAAAGGAAGGAAGGAAGGGAGGGAAAGAAAGAAGAAAGAAAGAAAGAAAGAAAAGAAAGCAAGCCATGATTTGAAGGAGAGTAGGTAGAGGCATGGGAGAGTTTGGAGAGAGGAAAGTGCAGGAAGAAATGTTGTAAATAGAAAGGGAAAAGTTACAACCTGTAGATCCACTGGTTGCAAAGGGCCTTGAATGATTTGGTTGCTGACTTTCTGGAGCCTTCTCATACCGTTTCCAGTACACTTAGTACATTCCGTCTCTACTCTCCACTATGCATTCTGTTAAAAAGTATTTACTGAGTTTTTCAGATGTCTTTGTCCTTCCTACTCTGAGCCATCATGCAAGGCATTCTTCTCCTAGAATGCTCTTCTCTCCCAATGAAAGTGTTACTGTTTTTCTAGTGGTTGAAGAACAGCTTTTGTTAGGAGTGAGGAGTCGGAGATAAAGACTCTCCATAGGGTGGGATGGGGAGGGGTCATGGAGACAATGGACTTGGGAAGCTGAAGCCCTGTTTGTTGTTTCTTTTTGAGACGGGGTCTCACTATACAACAGTTTCACTGTGTAACCTTACTGGCCTGGAGCCTGCTTTGTAAACTAGGCTAACCTTGCACTCACAGAAATCTGCTACCTCTGCCTCAAGTGCTGGGATTAAGGGCTAACCTGACTATACCTGGTTGTCTCTAACTTTTGCTTATCCTTTAGCCTCTTTCTCAAAAAAGCCCCATGGTCACCATTTTCTCCAAAGTAGATTGGTCTTCTGTTGCAGTTCTTAGACTAGACTTCAACTTCTGGTGTTTTTCACAATTGTAATTAATACTGTTTATACCTCCAGCTAGAAGCCGAGCATAGTGTTATACACCTTTAATCCTAGCACTCAGGTGACAGAGGCAAGCAGATCTGTGTGAGTTCCAGGACATCTAGAGCTGTTATATACAGAAACCCTGTCTCGAAAACCAATATATATAATCTCTAACTAGAGCTTAAACTTGAAGGCAAGAGCTAAGTTCATTTTCAGATATGGCCCCAGTGCCTGACATAATAGTTCCTTAGTAAAAAGCTGCTAAAAAAAGAGTTGAAGAAATGAATCGTAATATCTAACAGTGGGAGTTACCTATAAGCATGACAGTGTTCATTTTTTAGACTTAGCCACCTTTGCAAACTAACCTTTAAACTTCAAATTTTCAAACTAAGAGAGAGAGAAGAGAGATTTTCTTGCTAGGCCTACAGGACCATCTAAAATTCCATTTTTACTCCTTTAGGCTAAGGGCCGGCCGAGAAAAATACCACTGTGTGCACAAGGCCCTGAGGTGCCACTACACGTGTGTTGTGAAGGTTGTGGTCTAGCAGAGGATGCAGAGAAAGGAGTGAGGCACAGCTCGTTGTAACTGCACATCCTCTCCACCGTCGTTTCTGTAGACCTAGCAGGAGGCATTTGATAATGGCTATTTGTGTTGAAGTCAGAGTTCCTGATGATTAATCTAGTTATGCATTGTTCTGAACTACATTTTTTTTCCTCAGAGTATTGAGACGTCTGGTTACGCTTATTACTCAGCTGGCCAAAGAAATAACAAACAAAGGAGTACTTAAAACACAAGCAGAAAATACCAATAAGGCTGCCAAGAAATTCATGGAAGAGAATGAAAAACTAAAATGGGTATTTAATTTTCTTTATAAAAAGTCATTTAAATGCTGTTGAGGTTCACAAGGAGTAATGCATTATTTTTGGCATCAGAAATAGCATTTTCATAATTTATCAACAGAAAGTGGCCCAAACTATAGCACTGTTCTATGGAATGATTACATTTATTTATTTATAAATCCACTTAGAATCTCTGAGAAACCCTTTGTAGATGAAGCTGGTCTTGAAGTAGGAGATCTGCCTGTCTCTGTCCCGAGTGCTGGGACTGAAGGTGGGCATTGCCACTGCCCAGTTGATTACTTTTGTTTAGAGTTGGTCGCTCCCACACTTTACCTCAGTAAAAATTAATACCTCTGGTCCTGTTTCTATGATCCAGGAAGAAACATTCTTGGAGTACACATTTTTTAGTAGTGTTTTGGTAATTCAGTATCTTCTTTAACAAATTCATACATGTATATAGTACCTTCTAGTTACTCTTAACCTGTTCCCGTCTGTCCCGTTCCACCCATATCAACTCTCCTAAGGCCTTCTGTGGCCATGGGTTTGGAGCTGTCCACGGTAGCTTGGGCTCACCAGTGGATACACAACTTTTGACAATGCCTCCCCCTCTCAGAATCTCTCACTAGTCAGCAACAGTTCAGCAGGAAGGGGCAGGTCCCCACGATCATCCATAGCTGTCTGTTGACAAGGAAAGTAACCCCACTACTGTGAGTTCCAGATAACCCTGGCCGCATCGGACCCAGAATGTGACCATCCTTGGAGTATTATCACACTTTGAAGGTCTCGATTACCACTATCAATTTTACTTCATAACTTGAATTAAGTGTTTATAATTCTCTGTACAGCTCTCATTGGGTTAAAGTATGATTTGTTGTATACAAAGTAGTGAGAGTTATTGAGACATCATTGACGATTTCTCATAAGCAAATCTTTTGCTGCTTCTATTTTCTGACATGTATTTCCTGAGTATCAAGGCCCTACTGAAAAAAATAAAAATATGAACACAAAATTAATTTGAATTTTAAAATCTGATTATCTCATAGATCATACAAATTCCATGAGTTTTACTGAATCCAATTCTTAGAAAAAAGAGTCACTGGAACTACTAATATATGAAACACATTTTTTTTTAGAAAAGTTTTTTTTAGAATCATACATTAAGATTATTTCTCAAAGCTGGGCATAGGGGTGCACACCTTTAATCCCAGCACTCAGGAAGCAGAGGCAGGCGGATCTCTGTGTGTTTGAGGCCAGCCTGGTCTACAAAGTGAGTCCTAGGACAGGTCAAGCTACACAGACAATCTGTCTTGAAACAAACAAAACCAAACAAACAAGATTCAAAAAAAAAAGATTCAAATATAGTCTTCACATATACCAAGTTAATGAGTCATATTCAGCAGTAGAGAGTGAAAATTCTGAACTTGAATCTTGAAGCTCAGTCTTTATTTTTATTTTTATTTTTATTTTTTTTTTTTTGAGACAGGGTTTCTCTGTGGCTTTGGAGCCTGTCCTGGAACTCGCTCTGTAGACCAGGCTGGTCTCGAACTCACAGAGATCCGCCTGCCTCTGCCTCCCGAGTGCTGGGATTAAAGGCGTGCGCCACCATCGCCCGGCTCAGTCTTTATTTTAAAAAAAAAAAAAAAAGGACTTGTTTTTCAGGCAGGTATCATGTTGCCAATAAGAACAATTCTTTGACTTTGTAAATTAGGCAAAACTCATTATCACCCACTCAAAACTTCTATTTACTTTTTATGATATTTGCCTCACTTATATGTTAACAAAAAAGGTAGGGGAAGACCTTTTAATAGAAACAATTTTTAAAATGCCTCTTTATGAATAGATAGATTATTAGCATCTCTTATGGAAACAGCTTGTTAAAAAGTTTGCATTTTAATGTGTTTTGTTCTTATTTTTAAGAATTTATTATCGTAAATGCATGATGTGTGGAGAGGTTATGCCTGCCACAGCACGTGTGTAGAAATCCGAGGACAGCTTTTGGGAACTGGTTCTCCCCTCGTATCTTCACATGAGTTATAGGGTTGTCACCAGGTTCACACAGCCAAGTGCTTTACCCCCTGAGCCATCTCACCAACCTTGGTTCTTTGTTGGAAAAGCATCGATCCATTGATGTCTTCTGTATTTCCTCTTACAGTAATATTGTTCTACAGAAATAAAGGTGTCAGTGTGATCTGTATTAAAAAGCTACTAATAAGTACTAATAAGTACTAAAAGCTACTAAAAAGCTACTAATAAGCAACACAGTCAGTTTCATTTTGTACTTTAATGTTTGCTTGACTTTATACTTTTTGATCTTATTTCCTAATGATAAAATCAAAACCTTGTATATGTTGATTAAATTCAAAAGCCCCAGCTTTGTATTTATGGGAAGGCTTTCATCTGTCTCTGTTGCTTTGAAATTATGCACATCATCTTAGAATAGTGAATTTTAACTGTTGTGGGGCACACAGCCTTTTACTTGTTTTCTCTTAGTCCTGAACCATAAGCAGACAATATTTTTACAAAAGTTTTGATAACGTAACTCTTCACATATATAACATAACCAATGGAGTTAATTTAGTCTGTCCTTCAGAGTGTCACTTCCTTGACAGATCTTTGGAACTCTTCAGTCACTCATGGTAGGAGATTTATTACTTACTTGCTAGTTCCTGGGCCTCTCACAATTTCATCTCTTTTTTCTGGTTCCCTGCTTGCTGTATAGTTCTGACTCAGTCAGTGGTCCTAGATTATCAGGTATGCTATATGAAAGCTAGTTTATAGTGAGAAGGAAATTTGTGAATGGGATCATTTCTGCCAGTACTCAGAGTATAACTAATAGACTGATAAAGTGATCAATAAAAGCCATAGGTAAGGATGTAGAAAAATGCTTTTATTTCATGGTATTTCCTCTGGGCTTTGAAATATTAATGAAAGAATGATAAAATTCCTTTTTTAAAAAAAAATAAAAGCTCTTTATTCTGTATATGAAGAATATTACCAAGCAGAAAATACAGAATCCTGCAATTCCGAGACTTTCAGTTGGTGCTAACTTCAGCACTATAGTATTTGGCAGTGTGACCTAGGGCAGCTCCCCTCATAGGTTGTGAATTTCAAGGTCCTGTGGCTATAAATAATAGTTAGTGCTATGACAAGTGTTACGTTAGGTGATTCACAGTAAGATATTAACTCTTAATTTTTTGAACAATCGCATGAGGCTTGTATTGTCTGCATTTTATAGCTGAGAAACCAGGGAGAGAAAGGGTAATAGTAAAAATAAACGATACAGTACAGGAAGTTTGAGGCCATGCAGCCTGACTTTAGGGCCCACATCTACAAACACACGTTTTGTCGCCTCAACCCCTGTATTGTTCTATAAAGATGATGCCTGTTTGGTGCCCAAGGCCCGTTCCCCTTCTAATAATTCAGTTGAAGGAATGAAAGTTAACTCTTGTTTGTTTTTCAAGGCAGATTCCCTTTAAGTAGGCAAAGCTGGTCTTGAAATCACAGTATTCAGTTTGGAGAGATGGCTCAGAGGTTAAGAGCACTTGCTGCTCTTCCACAGGACCCTGGATTCAGTTCCCAGCACCTACACAGTGGCTCACAACTATCTGTCACTCTAGTTGTAGGGGATCTGATACACTCTACTGGGCACCAGGCAACTGTGGTACACAGACATGTATATGCATAAATAAATACAACTTAAAGAAAAAGAAAGATCTCAATCCTCTGACCTCAGCTTGTCACCTAAATACTGGTGATTCAGATATGTGCTTCCATGCCTTGCTATCATTAATTTTAACTGTACTGCTTTAAAATGGAGGATGAAGCTTTACTTCTCACTGACCTTCACTCCCACCAGCTTCTGGAATGGGCTCGTGAAGACGTGGTCCTCCTGTAGCTGGGACTCCAGAGTTCTTGGTCTTTCTCCAACATGAAATTAGGGATAATAAATGGAAGCAGTTGTACAGGTGCAGTAATGAAAGCTTATTTACAAGCCTGCCAGAAACCCAGCTTTTCCAAGCCAATGGCATAAATAATTCAAGCAGTCACTGTAAACATTCCTGCAGTTCAGTGGTTCCTTTCCAGTTGTGGTAAACACCCCCAGAGCAGTGATCCTCTACAGTGAGCTGTAAGTTTTCAATCTGTTCTGACTTTACAAATGTAACTCTTCTTTTTCTAGGCCGTAATTGTTTTGAACTTGAAGCAAGCAACAAATTAAGAGACTTAGAGAAATTCTCATCCTGCTTTTTTCGAGACGAGGTTTTTGATTCTAAAGGGTCTGGTGCTCTCTGTTTCAGAGTGTGCTCCGAGCCACTGATCTCTAATCCCTTCCTGATGCACCCACTCCTCTCCTACTCCATGTTTGCTCTCACTCCAGCTTTATGCTCCTGCTTGTCCTTTCCACTGGGTGAACGTTGGCAAAGAGAGTAGTCCATGCTTCTCTTACGTTTATCTCTTACGGTGTCTTTCATGCTGAAATGTTTGCATCCACTCACTGCTCACTAGGTTTGTGAGTTTTGTGTGTTAAATGTATGCTTCTGGTGTAGAAATTCTTTTTTTTTTTAATATTTATTTATTTATTAAGCCTGCAGGCCAGAAGAGAGCACCAGATCTCATTACAGATGGTTGTGAGCCACCATGTGGTTGCTGGGAATTGAACTCAGGACCTTTGGAAGAGCAGGCAATGCTCTTAACTACTGAGCCATCTCGCCAGCCCCTGGTGTAGAAATTCTTAAATTACCATGTTTTTCTAACCACGGAAGCCATCAGAATTAAGCTGCTGTCCTCTGTTTCGTCTACTGGCCCATGCCTGTGGATGCATAAATTTATTTTCTGTTTATTTTTGTTGTGTGTGTGTTGAGGAGAGGGATACTAGTCCGTGATCATAGAGGCCAGAGGTCAACCTCAGATGCCATTCTTCAGGTACTGCTCACTTTGTTTTTTAAGACAAGATCTCCGAATGTCCTGGAAGCTCCTGGAAAGGGCTAGGCTGATTGACTTAGAAGTTTCAGGGTTCCTTCCCTCCCTGTCTCCCCAGTGTTAATATTGTAATAGGCAGACTTCACCATGCCTGATTTTTTAATGTGTGCTCTTGGGATCAAACTCAGTGTGGTCACCACTTTATTGACTGAGCTATATCATTTTTATTTTTAAAATAGTTATAAAATATAATTTATCTTTCTTTGTAACCTAAATATGTTTCTTTTAATCTGCTTCTAGTTTGTAGTAGCAGTGATCATTTCTGTGTATTCAAGTTGAGGGAATTTTCATTCTGTAATGTTCACTGTCGGTTATTTCACTGTTCAGATCTTTATTGTTTTACCTACAGAAGAAAGTGAAAACCAGAAGTTTCCTACCCTAGACATCACCCTGCTATTTTCCATTTACTCCTCTTCATCCTGTAAGAGTATAACATTATACTCCTACGTACTTCTGTGTATAAAATGGTCTTGAGTAGACAGACAGTACAATTATTAGCATGATGATTTGTATAACTAATATCAAATCCAGAACTGATTTTTACATTAAATGTATATCACATCCTTAACTGAGAAACAGTCACATTGAATTAATTTTGAAAGCATAATTATAGCCCAATCAAAAATACTTGCTTCCATTTCAGACGCATCATCCATAATATTAACAAATAATTTTTAAGAATATTTTAAATTATATGTTTATGCACGTCTCTATGTCTGTGTGTGGGTATATGCATGTGAGTGTAGTTGCCCACAGAAGTTAGAGGCATTGGATTCACATGGAGCTAGGTCTATAGGGTTGTTGTATCAGGATTTTTCTATTAGGGCCTCCAACCAACTTCCACATCATGACACGGAGAACTTATTATTAGTTTTGAATGCTTAGCCTAGCTTAAGCTTGTTTCCAGGTAGCTCTTTTAACTTAACCTGTTTCTCGTTATCTGCCTTTTGCCTTGGGACTTTTTAATTTTTTTTTCTGTATATCTTATTTTCACAGCTTCTCATTGCCTGGCTGGCCCCAGGCATCTCTCGTGTTTTCTGTCTTTAGTTTCTCTTCTCTCTTGAGCCTAGATTTCTCCTCCTACTTATTCTTTCTGCCCACCAGCCCTGCCTCTCCTTTCTCTGCCTAGCTATTGACCATTCGTCTCTTTGTTAGACCTATCAGGTGCCTTAGGCAGGCAAGGTGAAAGGCAGGCAACACATCTTTACATAATTAAATCATTACACAAAGGCAACATAAAGAATGTAACACATCTTTGTCTAGTTAAAATAATATTTCACAACAGGTTGTGAGTTGCCTGACATGGATGCTAGGAACAAACTCAGATTCTCTGGAAAAACAGTATGTCCTCTTAACAACTGAGCTATCTCTCCAGCTCCACAAAATCAATTTTGTGTGTTTGCTTGCTATCGGGTTTCTATTAGCAAAAGCACTTTATAAAAAAATTAAATACTTAAAAAGACAAATTAGTAAAGACTGATAATTTTAATTTATTCAAAAAATACCCAACTGTTGCAATCTAAGTTTATTTCTTCCTATAACTCTTTTATGGTAGGTACTAAAAAACCATGGCAAGGATGGAGAACAAATTTTGGACACCGAAAATAAAAAACTAGTAGAAGACCAGGAAAAACTGAAAACTGAACTGAAGAAGACTTCAGATGGTAATTTTGTGTGCGTGTGGAAAGGGGAAGGACGAGCCGGTGTTCTATGCTGTCGCATAGGCCTCACTGTTTTACCTTAAACAAAACGAATGGCCAGGTGCCCTCTGGCCAAGCACTGATAATGACCTATTTATAAATTTCTGTTCAAATATGAGATTAAAACATTGCGCCAAGAGAAACATGTTCTGTTGTGCAGAAAAACATGTAGGTGTTTCAGATCTGTGTTGTAAATACAAATGTCCTTATCTCAGCAAAAGAGCTGTGGGCTTGAAAACTTTCTTGTAAGCATATTTTTGTAAAATGAGTCATATTTCTTGTCATCATGTATTACTTCTTTTATAGAAGTAATCACAAGGAGACAGCCTTGTTAGAATAATAATAATAAGCCCTAATATTTCCAACATACTAAATTTAAATTTTTAAAAGTTTTTGAAAAAGACAGAAAGTAAGCATCAATCTGGGGCATCAGCTGAGAAATTGAGGGGTTGTGCCAAAGTACTTTGTAGGTTCCAAGTGGGGCACCCTAAATCCAAGTCCATGAAGGCAACTGTTTCTGTGGTTAAAAGGTTCTGATTGTTCTTAGTACTTACTTGCTACATAATATAGTAAAGTATATACTTCACATCCATTGTCATTCTAAAACACTCTTTGAGTGTGTATAGCTTAACCCTTGACAATGTGTTTGCATGTGGAGACAGATTGGACAAACACAAGAAGACCTATTAGGTATTCATGGTTAAGAGTGTTAGGTTAAGGTGATGACGAATGCCTAAGTTGTCTCTAACTGTAGAAGGTAAATAGGATTCAGTGTCTACATCATTATTTGTTTAAGTTGTTCTCAGTGTAATAGAAGTTCTCTGAAATATAACTTGCTATTATTAAATATCTGTTTGCATTATTTGAATAGGATTTATTTCATGAAGGTATTTTTGAATTTTAAATGAAATTCCAAAGAAAAAGCTAATTCTGTAAACAAAGACCCAGATTAGGACATGCAATGAAGAATTCTTTAATCATTTTACTATTTATTTTTTATGTGTATGGGTGTTTGCCTCCATGTATGTCTTTGCACCACGTTTGCCTGGTGCCCTCAGAGGTCAGAAGAAAGGGCATCAGATCGTCTGGAAATGGAGTTACATACAGTTGTGAACTGAACCCAGGTCCTCTGGAAAAGTAGCAAGTGCTCTTAACCACTGAGACCTCTCATCAACCTCTACAATTTCTTATTTAAATTTAAATGGTAATTTAAAAACATCAGACAAAGGTAGTTTAGAATTAGTGAACTAAAAATTCAAAGTACCCTTCTAAACAAGGTTGCTTGGTTTAGCCCCAAACTCAGACATCCTGTTATATTTTGTATTGTTATATTTACTGTGATTCTAAAAGATTTAGACATAGTCAAGAAATTTTAACATTTATATACAAGTTAATTTAGTAGTCCCCTGTTCTTTGTATTGGTGATTTTATCTTTTTTATTTAACTTATAAAATGTTGGTGTTAATTCTTTTAGAGAATGTAAGGATTTCACAATACATTTAATTAGTAAAATTAAAGATACAATTTTTTTTTATCTGACAAGTATCTCTTATGTTGTGAATAGGTAATATAAAATATATATATATATAAAAGAAAGAAAATAAAGCATAGGTTTTAGCTTAGGTCATGCAGTGTTTGCCTAACATTCACAACACAGTGTATTCACTCCATAACACTTCCTAAACCAGCCATGGTGGCTTTCCCAGAACTCAGATGTAAAAGGGACAGAAGTTCAGGGTCATCTTAGCCTACAGAATAGGTTTTAGATCAGCCTTGGTAGCATTTTTAAAAATAGAATTTCAGTCCATAAAGTGCTTGTCAAGCAGGGAGGAGGACCTGAAACTGGGCATGGTGGTGCACGCTTTAAATCCCAGCACTTGGGAGGTAGAAACAGGCAGATCTCTGAGTTTGGGGCTAACCTGGTCTACAGAGTGAGTTCCAGGATAGACAGAACTACATAGTGAGTTTCTGTCTTAAAAACAAGCAAAAGACCTGATTCAATCCCCAGCAGCCATGCAAAAGCCAGCATCGTGACAGCTGACTATAGTCGCAGCTCTAGGAAAGCAAAGACAGGAGGATCTCTTGAGACTTGCTGGACAGCTAGTCTAGTGTGATCAGTACCAGTGTTAACATCTCGGCTTCCCTGTGTGCTCTTCCCTCTTTCTCCATCCCTCCCTTTTCCTTCTTCCCCCATATTACATAAAAATCAATAAATGCAATATTTTCCAAAGGCAAGAATAGATGGCATACTTACTCCCCTCCAGTCAATTTAATGTCCTCTTCTTTGCCTTTCAAAATTTACAATTCTGAGATATTTTGAACTTTAACTTCTTGATCCTGATAAAACCAAACTCAACATTACTTCAGTGTGTATTTAACAAAACTTGGGACTTGGAAGAAAATGAACACTTTAATAATGTAGGCATTGTGTTTATAATCTGATAAGAAGATCTGCCAGTCCTGCCTCTGTTTGAAATGTAGACTGACTACTTTCAAAGGGAGGCAGGGCTGAAGTCAAAGCAGCCTTTACCTGTTTGAGTGTGTCCTGTTTGGTTCCTTCAAGAGGTGCAATATTTTATGAACACATTCCATTTCCCCGGAGTCCGTTTTTTATGTAACATTCTTAATGACCTTGAGGTGAAAAGGAAGAAGACTGACAAACCTTATTAGTGTGAGCTCAAGAGTCTGGTGATCACTGAAACAATGACCTGACAAATAAGGTATATTAAAAAAATAACTGCATTAAACCCAGCAACTGTTTGTTTACAAAAATAATACATGTGAATGTCAAATACTGAATAGCTCCAGGAGATCGTATGCTCACATTCTCAAAAACAGAACTAAAGAAACTAAAAAGAAACCAGAAATAAATATATAGATTTTTTTACCAAATAAAATATGTTCTCTTCTGGCTCTTATAATTATTGTACAACAGCCCAACTTTATCAGTTTTGCCAATGCCTCCAGAAATTTTCTTCCATTTCCTGGCAGTGCTTAGCTGATAGTATCTGTTATCTTTGGTAGAAATCATAGTGATATGAAACACAGTGTTTGTCTTGTGATACTCCTGGTGTGCAAATAGCTGTAAGTTCAATACTTGGAAAGACGTCAGTGTTTTGGCTTACCTATATGTCAGTTTGTACAAACACGATGACTTATTGATGTCACTCACTATAACACTGTAGTTATTTTCTATGTTAAGGGTAAGTGTAATTTAAAGGATTTTAGTGACTAGAATATACTCTAGCTTCTTATCGAACCTGGCCATTGGGAAGTATTTCAGCATTTCTTTAAACCTGCAAATAATAGTCTGAAATGGAGGTGCCATGAGAGTCTGTGAAGGCCCTTTTCTCTGGCTCATGGACGGTGTTTTCTCTAGCCTGACAGTATCAAAGGGAAGGCAGCCCTCTGGGACCTCTCTTGTTAGGACACAATCTCATATATGAGGGTTCCACTTTCAGAATTTATTTCCCAGTCTCATTTCCTAATACTACTACTTTGGTGATTAAGTTTCAGTATATAAATTTTAGGGAGTAAAAATCATTCAGACCATAGTATCAACTTTTTTATAAACTACCATTGTAGGCTAGTCAGGCATTATTATTCTGTGAAATCTGTTTTGATTTCTATATACCAGAAGGACAGGCTCATAACCATTTTCAGTAAGATCTGAAGATAAGACTAACCATGCTTCATATTTTTAAGTAGACTCTGTTATCATTTATAAAATGGTGCGTGGTCTGAGGGCAGTCACATGAGAGGCGGTGGTGAGGGGCAAGGCCTCAAGCAGGTCCTCTTGGTGGGTGGGACAGTGGCAGGAAAGAGACAGATACATATAGTAAGAGAGACGTACCAGCCAGGGCAGGGAGCAAGACCTGGAACTGAATACAACTGCTGTGAAGATCCGCACCCGCCAAGGGTCACACACCTGTTTCTTAAAGTAGAGGGAAAAACAATATCGAAAAGGACATAGTTATGACTGCTATTACTGTTCAAATGTGAGTGGCAGACTACATTAAATATATTGTGTTAATATTAAATTTCTCAAATTTAATAATTACACTGTGGTCATGTTAGAAAACACGCAGTGAAGATATAAAGAGAAGGACTGGAGAGGTGGCTCAGTGGGTAAGAGCATTGGCTGCTCTTTCAGAGGACCCCAGTTCAGTTCCCAGCACTCACATGGCAGCTCACGACTGTCTGTTACTCCAGTTCCAGAAGATTTGACAGCCACACATACTGGCAAAACACCAGTACATATAAAAAGAAATAAAGAGAAAAGAGACATGTATTGAAACTTATCAGTATGATAGTGAGTATGATAATATATATCATGACATTAACAGTTGGAAATTTGAGTGTATACTATAGAGGAGTTCTCAACTTGGGTTGTATAGCTTTTCTAATTATTTAAAGTTATTTTTTTTTTCTTTTTTGAGACAGGGTTTCTCTGTGGTTTTGGAGCCTGTCCTGGAACTAGCTCTTGTAGACCAGGCTGGTCTCGAACTCACAGAAATCCACTTGCCTCTTGCCTCCCAAGTGCTGGGATTAAAGGCGTGCGCCACCACCGCCCGGCTTTAAAGTTATTTCTAAATAAAATTTCATTTGATATTTTTAGCCCTTTCTAAGGCACAAAACGACGTGATGACTATGAAGATTCAGTCAGAGAGACTTTCGAAAGAATATGACCGACTCCTGAAAGAACACTCAGAACTTCAGGTTGGTGACATATATTTAAAGATGTAAAGTTTTTTTAAATCATAATTAAATAACTATTTGGATTGCATGCCCTTCACGGATTCGAATAGTGTGCTTAATCCTGGCTTTATTAAATAACCAAAGAAGCCAGATTTACCTGAAGGGTAAAGGTGAGGCCATTACAGCCAAATGCAAGATAGCTATAATATAAGAATTGCTAACATGCTAATTTAAAAATATTCCACTTACGGAAAGTTTTAAAGAAAAGAATTGAGCTATAAAATAGCATTAAAAAAAAAACTGGCTCTGGAATAATGTCTTTCACCATCTGGAATATTTGCCATATTTATGCCAAAGTGAGGCCAAATTTGAAGTTTCATATCACATTACCTCAGTCTTTGTTTTCTGTACCTTAGGGCAAAGAACTATGGCATTCAGATACCTGATTTATACCTCCAGAGTTGATGTAAAGATGGGGAAAAATCTTGGTGAAAGCATCTCTCAAATCTAAGTCATGGGTTTTCTTTCTCTGTCTCTAGTTTAGCAACAGTCAGTTCCAAACATCCACCCATATTAAGTAGGTTTGTCTTTTTTCTCGTCAGTTGTCAACCACCAACCTGAATTTATTTCCCAGCCACTCTTTTTTGGGGAGTGCCAGAGATCAAGTCCAAGTCCTAGTGGTTGAAAGGCAAGTGTTGTAGGCTCTTCGGGGGAAAGTGTAGGAAGAACTGATACAGAAGGAGCCTTGGCATGTCACAAATAGGCATCACACCCATATACTCTGGAATCAGACTTGGAATACCTTTATCAGTCTTCATAGTAGCTTTATGATTCTAAGAGATGATGTCACCCATCTGAACGAAATGCACTGTCTTCGTCTTTAACACTGAAACAATAATAATGCCTTGCCCACTGGCATGTTGAGAGAACCAAGTAAAGTGCAGGGTGATGTAAATACTCAGGAAACAGATAGCTGTTAGCTAAGCATGGTAGCACACACCTTTAACTCCAGCATTTAGATATGCCTCAAAGAAAAGAAGGGAGAGAGTAAGGAAGGAGAGAGTGAACAAATGAAAGAATGAACTATCGTAATTGTCATCAGTATGACTTCCTTTGTAGTTTTACTGAAAGACTGACTTAGTCTCAAATAGCTGGTTCGGCCTTCAGTTACTCAGTCATGAAGCAATCTAAAATGTACATAATCTTGTTCCCAATAGGTAATCTAGTCTTAAGATACTAAAGGCTGAATTTATATGGTCTAGAGTAAATGTTTATTTACAATTGTAGAGATCCTAAACTGGTTGACCTCCTCAGGACATGATGAAAACTACTCCATGACAACTCAGCATTGAGACCTCTTGTCTAAGTAGATTTTACACCTTCCTATTTGTGAGACCAGGATCTTCTCAACCATCATATTTTCCCATGAACTTTAAAGCAAAGTGCGTCCAAGGTCCCAGAAATATTTAGGCCCTTAAATGGAAAAGAAAACTAAGACTATACCCTCAATCTTTTAGGTCAGTGTCCATAGCTTAATGAATCTGTTATGGTAACGTCTAACAGTTTGGTAGTAATTCCTTAACCTTCAAGAATATATAAAGTTAAGATTTCCTGCAGTCTCCCCACTACCCCCAGAAAAAAACACTTTTAGCTTGGAGCTTCTATGTTCTTAGCAAAAGATGTGGAAAGCTTTTGTAGGTATACTCTGCCTAAGAAAATAGTTGTTGCACCTGCTTTGGAAAAGAACCCCATTCTAAATAGACTGAGTGCCTAGCAGTGAGGATTGGAACCTTATTGGATAGCCTTAACCTACTACCTGTATTCTGTTTATGAAATACTGACATTTATTCAGTGTGCTCGAGGACAAAGCACCTGACTTACCTATGTGTCAGATTTACTCCCTTGGCACCTCAGTACGCTAAAATATTTTAGTATCTCAAGATGTCAAGAACCAAACATTTTTATGTGATTTGCTCCCAAGTTACTGAACTAGAAAGAGTATTTAAAGCTAGACATCAACGTCGGAATATCTTCACAACTCCCATCATTAACCGGGTTCTTCAGCCTGTGCTGGTCGTCAGTCTGTGTTTCTACCCCTGCCCTATCCCATGTAGGAACGTACTTTCCAGAACCTTGCTTTCTGATTCCTGGCAAGTTTAGATAGTGAGAGGCACTAGTAGAAAACTGAAAACAGAAAGCCACCAATGTCTCCTATTTTCTGCTTTAGGTGACACTTCCTTCCTGGCTTCCAGTCCCATATTCCTGGTCGCAGTTCCAGTGGGCAACTTCCCTTTGCTGACCTGTACCCAAACAGCCCACTTTTCCCTCTCCAACCCAAGAGTAGTGGTGGTTTCTACTGTTGCTGAGGCTCTGTTTATATTATATTATTCACTGTTTGCCTATTATCTCATTGCCTGTCGGCCTAACTTCCTGTAGTATTTGTCTGAAGGGTTTAATTGATCCTGTAACCCTCTGAATCATTTGACATCCAAGTGGCTTGACTACTTCATCACTTACATGAGAGATAGGGTACCCCAATGAGCATCAAATCAGATTCTATTTCAAGAAAGAACTTGAAATATTTTTAAATTGGAAAGGCCCTGTATAGGCATAGCCATAAGATGCTTAGTTGATTTATTATATTTTTTCCCTGTCTTCCTACCTAGTAGCCCCATTGTCCACTTTGAAAACCTAAGAAATATACTGAAATTTAGATGCCATTTACAGACCCATCTTCTCACACGTGACTCTTTAAAAGTCAGTCTGAACAAGCAAAAATGAGTAAAAAAAAAAATTGTAGTATAAAGCTGAGTTTAGCTTGTCTTCGTGAATTTTACTTCTATCATCAAATCAGTCTTAGTAATTTAATATCTTCTGAGCTTCCTTGGGAAACCTCCTGATTTTCTCAGCTCTATGTGATTGTGATAGCTCGAATGGAAGAAGTATGGACAAATGTTTAAACGTTAAAGTAGCAGGAAAACTGGTTTCTTTTCAGTAATCAAATCTTAATTTTGCAGCTTTTAAATCCATTTGTCTTTCCCCAGCTGGGGCCCCTCCCAGTTAAAAGTATTAAATAAATATTAGAAAATGGTCCCTTTAAAACATATAATCTTTGTTTTTTCTTATTTGGCCTGGCTATCTTCTAGAAAAGGAAAAAAACAAAAACAAGAAATGATGAGGTATTATTGGCAGCATAAACCATCAACACTTGATAATTTTTAAATTCATTTTGGAAAATCCCTCTTCACATAGGAGATTTGCCTGAACTTAGTAGCATTTTCATTGAAACTTTGCTTTATATCTAAAGTGGTCATGTATATATAAAAGTATATATTTTGTCATTCAAAATACTTCCTCTCATCCTGTGTATTTAATTGCTAATGCTAAGTTCTTATAAAAGCATTAATACTAACCCTTAACAAGAAGTAGTGGACTGCAGTTCTGTCCTGTGAGGTTTCTCCCTTCTCTTAGGGTTAATTCCTATTTCTTTTCCAATTGTTTTGTGTTTCACTTACTTCATCTTTTCCTTGCCAAAAATCTTAATTGGGTCTGCAATAGGGGAATTTGATTTTTTTTCCTTGGGGGTAATTGTGAAATAAGAGCCAAACAGATTAATATATGAAAAAATGAAATTATCAAGAGACTTTACTTTTCCCTCTGAATATTTTTTGAAACAAAACTCAGATTTTTGTAGTGTTTTAAGGTTTTTTACTTTCTCAATCCATATTTTCAAATTTTAATTCTCTAATAACTAGACAGAAGACGAATTTTTGTAAGTCCTTATGTCTATGAACTTATTAATCTATCTTTTTTTTTTTTTTTGGTTACAGAACCGTTTAGAAAAAGACAGCAAGAAAAGCCTGTGAATTAACATTAGAAAAGAAGACTATGATACACCTTGTCAAGAAAATAAACTTGTTATCATGGTATCCACTAAAACTTTCAGAATTCAGCACCCAACCCAGCAAACCACAGGCTCACATGGCTGGGTAGTACTGATGTTGTCAAAATATTTGATAATGCATTAGTAAAGTATGTTTCAGCTCTTTTGAAAAATATAAGCATGTTAAATGCCATATTTACATATTGCTAATAGCATTGGTATATGGTGGCTTTTTACCCATAAAAGGAAAAATTCATTAGCCATTTACTTCCCAAAATAGATCTGAAGTTGCATGAAACTGTTGTTAGCCTTGAAATCTTTGATGGATTTTCAGTAATAATCAGTGGTGGTGATGAAAATGATTTTTGAAAACAGTCCTCGGTCTGAAAACTTGTTCCCATATTAGCCACTGTGTTTATAGAAGAGAGTCAGAGAGAACACTGAAAACAATGGCCTTAGGTTTCTGAAGCCTGGTGAGTCTATGATTTACTGTACATATGACAGCACTGTTGTTAGCTGTGTTTTTGTTACTGCACTTCTGTACCTATTAGACTATTTTTATTGATACTTTAGTCATGTATAATCAATATTCTACCTTTTCAGGTTCACCTGGTAATAGAATTTATGTCCATTTGCGTAAATGTCATAACATTGAATTGAACTTATGTTGGTTGCATTGTGGTATTCTCCACCTACAAAGCTCACTTATGACATCCAAAAAGTCGTGTTTTTTATGCTTGTAAAGTTACTAATTATACAGATATTACCTCAGTATATATGCACTGGTATCATACAGATCTCTCTACAATGTTTCTTTGTTTTCAAAGTTAAATACTGGTTTTCATGCAAATACTCATGTAAAGGTTGTAATTATAGTAAGATGATTTACATTATTTCAATGTTTAACTGTAAAAAGCCACTTGTCTTAAAATGATTTAAATATAAAATAATTGGAGTTTTTACTTCTCTGGTCTTTGTTTTATCTTTTGTTGTTCGTTATAATTTTAATGCCAATTTCATACCTAATTTTATTTCAGATAAAAGTGAGGAGTTCTAGAAAACAGACATGTAGACTATATTTAACAGGGGCAAGATATGAAAATTGTGCCATCTGGGCTGACTCCACCATAAATAACAAGGAAGGGATGGTGAATTAAAAGGAAACTGCACACGTGACACTTGAAACTTCAGACTTAGAAATTTCAAAGTGAGAGTAACATGGCAAATGTTTGAGGACTTGACCTACTCTGCAGAAATCAGGTGTAATGTCAGAATTACATAAATTTAGAAAGTGCACAGCTTTAGCATTGACAGAACCAAGAGCTAATCTCAGTGTAATGGTTTAGATAAAATGGCACCATTCCCCCAGGGGCAGCAGCCACGAGGGGCAGCCAGGTCCCAGGCAGGGAGCCACACAAGGCCTCAGTGGGTCCCAGGTTGGTGGGAGGTGGCGGTGAATGATCTTAGCGGCAGGGCAGCCAGTCCCAGGAGGAGCTGCAGCAGGTTAGAGACAGATAGATGCCATGCAGAGAAAGTGGGTATAATTTATTCAGTGGGTTATGGAAGGAAAGGGAAGGAGAGAGAGGGAGGGAGAGAGAAATGGAGGGAGAAGAGAGAAGGCAGTAGCCATCTCTTCAGGAAGGAAAGAAAGCACAGGCTGAAAGCAGAAGGAAGATCCCCTTGCCTTGGTGGAAGTGGGGGTGGGTGGGCAAGGGCTTCTCTCTTAAAGGAACAGGACAAACCATTACACTCAGCTTTACCACTTGTTTAGTCATGGGATTTGAACAAAATATTCACATTTTTAGGCCTTTTATCTGATTTCCAAAGTGAGACTATTAAAATTTAGATAAGTGTTACTATATAAACTAATATGCTGATTAACCAAAAAAACACTTTAAAGTTTACAATTAGGGATCTTAGCCCTCATGTCTCAATTTTACAGATCTATAATTGGAGACCTCAAAAATTTGAGAAATTTTCCTAAGGGGAAAAAGTGAGTCTTAAGGAAGTGAAAATGCAGGAATCCTAGTTCCCTGGATTTTAGTCATCTTAATTCACAAGCTAGTTTAATTTACTAAACCTTAAGCAGTTTATATATGTATAAACTGATGACATGATGGCTCCAAGGTTTGGCTAAGAGGAAGCTTTTATTGTAGATAGAAGGGAAAGAACAGCCAGAGGCATCTGGAAGAGACCAGAGTAAAGAGAGAAAGCAGTAGACGGGCCTGGCCGAAATGAATTATTTAAAAAATGCTGCCGGATCCCCGGCAGCTGCAGCGGGACATGAGACCACATCGCAGGTCCAGGGCAGGGAGACACTCGGCAGATGGATAGGTACACCATGCAGAGCAAGGTTGGGTATTTATTTAGTGGGTTATGGAAGAGAAGGGAGAAGAGATGAGAGGCAGAGGGACACAGAGGAGGGAGACAGAAAAGGAAGAGACTCAGCCTGCAAGCAGAAAGGAAGTGCTGGGATCAAAGGTGTGAGCTCTGTTTCCTTAGGCTGTTTCAATTTCCTTAGCCCAGGGTGGCTTTGAACTCCTGAACTTCCTGCCTCCTCCTCCTCCTCCTCCTCCTCCTCCTCCTCCTCCTCCTCCTCCTCCTCAATGCTAGGATTAAAGGTGTGTGCCACCACTGCAGAGCCTATGGTTAACTAGTGGCTAGTTCTGCCCTCTGATCTTCAGGCAAGCTTTATTTGTTAGAGCACAAACAAAATATCACCCCTAAGTTGACCCAGTATGAGGAATAGGGTCCCCAAAGCCAGTAAAGAGTCAAAGACAACCCCTGCTCCCACTGTTAGTGTAAGTCTTGGTCTCTGGCCTCCATCTTTGGAGGCCATCCCTGTGCCCACCAAACCTTGACCCGTCCCCAGAGGAGGGTCAAGACAGCCCACCAAAATCTTGACCACTCCCCCAGTCTATTTAAACTGCTCCCCCGGAAAGTCCCCCTCGTGGTCTCTTCTCACCCCTACCCCCACCACCCCACCTGTGGTCACATTTGCGGCTTCCCGGAATCCCATTAAACCTGGATATTTTTTAATTTGGCTTGATTAGGATTTTTGCTTTGGCAGTTAGGAGTCGCACAAGAGGACCAAGCTACAGAACTATGACACATATGCAGAGTGCCTAGGTCAGCCCCATGCAGGATCCCTGGTTGTTGGTTCAGTCTCAGTGAACCCCTATGGGTCCAGATTAGTTGATTCTGTGAGTTCTTTGTGGTGTCCTTGACCCTTCTGGCTCCTACAATCCTATCTCCTCTTGTGCAGGAGGGGCTGGGGACTGCGCTCCCTACTTAACATTTAGCTGTGGGTCTGCATCTGTTTCCAACAATTGCTGGATGATGCCTCTCTGATGACAGCTGGGCTAGGCACAACTCTTGATCATAGAAAATGGCCAGCTCAGGCTACATGTATCCACTATTGCTAGGAATCTTAACTGGGATCATCTTTGTATGTAGTGGGAAGCCGCTTGTATGTTTCCCAGCTGCCCAGACTCCCGAAATAATTACACAGAAACTGTATTATTTTAATCACTGCTTGGCTTATTAGCTCTAGCTTCTTATTGGCTAGCTCTTACATCTAAAATTTAACCCATTTCTATTATTTTCTATTTTACCATGATGTTTGTGGACTACTGGTAAGGTTCTTGGGGTATGATTGAATATTGTTCTTTCAAGGTCTATAAAGAATTGTGTTGGGATTTTAATGGGGACTACATTGCATCCGTAAATTGCTTTTGGCAAGATTGCCATTTTTTATTATGTTAATCCCACTGATACATGAGCTTCCATGAGCTTGGGAAGTATTTCCATTCTCTGATAGCTTCTTCAAAGATTTGAAGTTTTCATCATACAGGTCTTTCACTGGCTTGGTTAGAGTTACCCCAAGATATTTTATATTATTTGAGACTATTATAAAGGGTGTTGATTCTCTGGTTTCTGTTAGGAATATTTCTTAAGACAAGCCTCTCCACCAACATAATTAATTCCAATTAGTCCAAATTAGTTCAAATAAAAAGTGGCCATGTTTAATGCAATGCTCCCGGGTGCCTCCCGGGAAAGCATGGAGAGGGGAAGAGAGAAAAGGGGAGACCACTCGAAACTCAGAGACCATGTGTTCATTCTCGGGGGGGGGGGGGGGAGCAGTTTAAGTAGCCTGTGGGAGTGGTCTTGACCTTCCTCAGGGAGGAGTCACCATTTGGCGGGCTTTCTCAGAGGTGGAGTTTGGACTAAGGCAACTCTCAGGGGAGGGGCTTGAATTGGAGTTTCCTGCCCAGGATTTGAAAGATGGATGCCAGGACCTGGGATGAGGCCCCCAACTAAATATTTCAAACAGTTTCTTCCTCAGCCCATTTATCCTTTGTATATAGGAGGGCTACTGGTTTGTTTATTTATTTATTTTTTTAGTTAATCTTGTATCCAGCCACTTGACTAAAGGTTTTATCTGTTATAGGAGTCTCATGGTAGGGTTTTTGGGGTTGCTTATGTATAATATCATATCATCTGCAAATAATGATACTTTGACTTCTTCCTTTCCAATTTGTATCCCCGTGATCTCCTTAAGTTGTCCTGTTGTTCTAACTAGAACTTCAAGTACTATATTGAATAAGTATGGAGAGAGTGGACAACATTGTCTTGTTCCTGATGTTTGTGGAATTGCTGTTTTACTAATTCTTTGTATTGTTCTCTTTGTTACTATTTTATTGATTTCAGCCCTCAGTTTACTTTCTGTTGTCTACTCCTGTTTCCTTTCAATCTGACAATAAATAGCCAATGTCTGAACCAAGCAAGCATTAAAGAATTCTCTCTACTGCTTTCCTTCCCAACATTGGTATTTAGCCGATTCTAAACATAGCCTATGGGTCCAGGTAACCCTCCATATTAAATTTCTCATTTCTCATAGTAATGACTTTATACCTCAGACTGTTATCCTTGCTTTTTTTTTTCCACAGTAGTGTAAGTTTGTCAAACTTTCTGTAATTTGCATGAGGTCCTGGCTCTAAGATGCAGCACATGCTAGGCTAGAGCCGACACTAGAACTCTGCAAGAGTCATCCCTGTTTGTCCTGTTCTCCTGACTGCAACGTTTGTAGCTGCGTTCCTTCCTCATGTCTTAGGGCCAAGTTCACTTTGGGTACTGGAATCGCTTTCAGGGACATACGTGGATCCTGAAAGTAATTCCTTCTGTGGCAAAGATGCAGTTAAGGATTTTGAGATGAAGTGATTATCCTCAGTAATGGGTGAACACTAAATGCAGTCAGAAGCATGCTGGTAAGGGAAAGGATACTTCTACACAGAGAAGGAAATGTTGATACTCGATAGTGACTCACGCTCTTAATACCAGCACAGAAGACATCGAGGCTTGAGGAGCACTGTGAATTCAAGGCCGTCCTATGCTACAGAGTTCCTGTTAGGTTTAGGCTTAAAAATTAACAATTTTGAATTGAAATTCTTTTACTATCAAAATAACACTTTTACTTACAGTTCATAGGAAGACTGGCAACTGCTTACTGCTTGTTGATGAGGTCAAGAGCCAAGTTATGCACACATACACTAAACAAGAGTTGAATCACAGGTCTGGAGACATGACTCAGTGGTTAAGAGCACTTGCTGCTCTTGTCGAGGGCCTGAGTTCAGTTCTCAGTACTTAGGTGGTGGTTAACAGCAGCTTGTAACTCCAGTTCTGGGGAGCCCAATGTCCTCTCCTGGCAGCTGGGCACTAGGACTTCATTGTGTATACACATACATACAGGCAATATTCTCATACACATAAAATAAAAATAAGTCTTAGAAAAAGTTAAGCCAGGTGGTGGTGGCACACACCTTTAATCCTAGCACTCAGGAGGCAGAGGCTGGTGGATCTCTGTGCATTTGAGGTCAGCCTGGTGTGCAGAGCAAGTTCCAGGACAGGCTCCAAAGCTACAAACAAAACAATACAAAACATAACAAAACAAACAAACAAACAA